CCCTCCCTCCCTCCCTCCCTCCTTCCTTCCCTCTCTCTCTCTTTCTCTCTCTCAATGCATTTGGTACAGGGTCTCACTACCTGGCTTGGACTTGTAGTGATCCTCCTGTTTTCAGCCTCCCCAGTGCTGGGACTACAGGCATGCGCTATCATGCCTAGTCTTCTCCCATTTCTTAAAATCAAAGATGCATCCTATTTATTTCTACATCCAGAGCACCTGCCACACAAAAGTGTTGAGTGAATAATTGTATAGTGAATCAATGAATGTCTTCCAATTGGTCAGAAGGCTTTAATAAAGGAAGAAAAAGAAGTCACATCTTCAAAGATCTGCTTGCTACAAGACCAGTGTTTCCAAGTGCTCTCTGAGCTGGCAAAGATTATTTTTTTGTAATCTCTCTTCATCCAGATCATGGCTAAACCAGCCATGCCCATGGAACAGAAACCATTTCCTATAACAGAAAAACAAATCTGACCCAGATTTTTCCTGCTTAAAATAACTTTCAGTGACTTTTTTTGGCAGGAGTAGATAGCAGGCACTGAACACGTGGATTCAGGGAATCTTCTACATTGTAGGATGCTGCAATGGACGCTACAGTCATGTATTGATTGATTCATCCAGCAAACACCTACTGGGTGTCAAGCATTAAGCACACTGTGTCTTTTTCATGGCTAGCTTCTAGGTGTGGTTGCTGCCTCTTACCACATCAATAATTATCCTGAACTTGGAGGCTTGATACAACACATACTCGCATCTCTCCGCATCCAGATGTGACTCAGCCGAGTGCTTCTGGGCCACCGGGTGCCCTAAGGTCGCAGTCAAGCTGTCCAACAGGGTTGTCTGCCGCACTTCCAAATGCATTCATGTGGCAGTTGTCAGGCACAGCGGGTTCCCTCACATGGCCTCTCCCAGGGCGGCCTCACAATCCGGCAGCCACTTCCACTGGACAGCTGATCCAAGAGAGTGTACAGAGACTTTGATAATGTAATCTTAGAGGTAACACTTCGCCGCAATCTGCTCAATAGAAGCAGTCAGTAAGTCCAGTTCACACTCAGGAGGAGGGCATTCCAAAAGGGTATGGATAGCAGGACGTGGAGCCATTGGGTGGTCTCAGAGGCTACCTGCCACACGGAAGCTATTTTTAACCTTCATCTCATATCCAGAACCCAGCTAGTGAAACAACTTGTTTAGGTTACTTAGCCAGAGTTTTCTGAAAAGTAGCTTCCTATTTCCCTGGGCTAGATGAGAATAAGATGGGCAAGATGAAGGAAAGCAGGAAGAAGGTATTTGTGGGGGAAAAAAAAAAGTAAGGACAGAGTCTGTGTTAGTTACCAACTGACATGCAATTGATTAACTTTTTACCAGTTGAGTAACTAACTCAACTGGGTACTTTCTGACACTATAGTATTAGCTGCAGGTACAAGGATAAGAGAAAATCCAAAATTACAGTAGCTTGAATAGGTAGATGTTGATTTCTATCGTCTAGATGTCCGGACAGGTGTGGTACCACCCAGCGACAGGGACTCAGGTCTCTTCCATCTTGTTTTCTGCATGGCTTTGCATCTCATGGTCCAGAATGGTGATATCACATTCTGTGAGGCCAGATGGAGAAATGGACATAGGAAAAAAGTATATACTCCTGCAGCTACCACAAGACACTTCCCCTTACATCTCAAAGTCACACAGCCACACTTAGCTGCAAGGGCAACTGAGAAAGACAGCTTGCATTCTGAGCACCTATAGACCCAGCCAAAAATTGGGCACTTCAGCCCCATATAAAACCAGCCACACCAGTCAACCCTATCCAGCGTTCACCATGTGCCAGGCACCTGTTGCCTCTGGACATGTGATTCAGCAGGTCAGGGATGGGCATGAGAATCTGCCCTGTGATGTCCAAGTAGCTGGCCTTCCACATTTTAGAAAGGGAAGATTGGCTGAGATTCCCCCTCTTTTGTTTGCAAGAGTGTCAGGCCACTGGTTAAGTGAGTGGACAGGGGAATGCAGGAGGCTGGAGGGAAAAGGGACCCGGTCAGTCTCAGTGCATGCCCCAGTGTTGTCTGCTGCCCCCAGCCACCCACCTGTGCTGCGCTGGCCTCTTTCAGTCCTCACTGAGAACAGATATAGGGCTTCTTTCTGTAGACAAAGAACCTGCCCATTGGACCTGTGCTTTGAACATGAGTCTCCTCCTTCCTGCCTGGGTTTTTTGAAGCTCTGTCACAAGCTTAAAGAAGAGGCCAGTGACAGAAGCTGGGGGACGTTCACTGTGAGTGTCCCCTACACGGGTCTGCTGTTCAACTGCTTTGCTCCCACCCTAGCAATCACAGAGGAAGCCACTCTGTGTCTGTACTTCTGAGGCCCTGAAGTTGGGAGAGGAGAACAACCGACACTGCTGCCTTGGGCAAGTCAGTGTGGAGTCTGTCCTGGACAGTCCTGCGTGTCCTGGGATGGACCTCGCTCAGGGCGGGCACTCAGTGAACGCGGCTGAAGGGAACCACAAGTGAAAGATGTGAACAGAGACAGCTGCCCCCCCCCATACCCCGACCACAACAAGTAGGTGCACTGTTTTCTTATTTGAGCCCCAGGAAACACCTCTGTGAAAGGTGCCATCATCCTCTTTGTGCAGATGTGGAAAGGGATGGGGGTGGGGGCCTCAGAGATGTCCAGCGCTTTTCCCAGAACAGCACACAGGGGTGGGGGATGGGTCCCCCTTACCAATCCAGGATGGCTGGACCTTCCTCCCATAGGTCTAGGCCGCTTGCTACTCAGAAGTGGACACTGCATGGTCCAAACTTGGACCATCCCATTTCATCTTCCCTCAATGAAACTGTTTTACAAATGCAACAACAGCACTGTGAGAGGCAGAGGCCACTCAAGAGAAAGAAGACGAAGCAGAGGCTTAAAAGAAAGAATGCCCGAACATCTTTGAGAGAAGCCCCTACACCGAACCCCTTGGCCCTCCCCTCCCGGTGCCTCCCGCAGGCCCCTTTTAATGGGGAGCGGAAGGGGCGGTGGGGGCGCGGCAGCGCCCAATGGGCTGCGCAGAGCGTCACTTCCCGGCGGCCCGAGGCGAGTGGCGAGCAGCTGGGGGCGGCGCGGGGGCGGGGCGGCCGCGCAGGCGTTGGCAGCGGGCTGGGACCCACGCGGCGCCGCGGCCCCCTGGCCTGCAGCGCTCCCACCCCGGCGGCGGCGGCACGATGCCCTTTGACTTCAGGAGGTGAGTGTCGCGAGCCCCGTCACCGGGAGTCTCTTCCGCAGGCCAGAGGGACACCCGCTTCCACGCAGCCCCCAGCCTGGTGCATGTCTCGGGAGGCCTTCGCGGACCCGGCCTTACACGAAGCCAGCCAGAGCCACAGAGGCCCCCGGCGTGCAGCTGGAGATAAACCCACCCACCCACCGCCGCTCTGCAGAGCCCCCGCCCCAGCCAGCCTGGACACCTTGCATTCCCTTCCCCCCAGCAGGGGAAACAGATACCTTCCAGATGAGAACCAGCATCTCCTCCTTCCTGAGCCTCCTTGAGAGGACCCCACACCCCTGACAGGTGGAGCCAGGGCACCCCGCCTGAGTGCTCTGAGTGCTCAGAGCTGCACAGCTGGCCACTCTAGCCTTCCCGGCTGCAGCTGGAGGCTTGCAGGTTAACATAGCCCGAGGCACCCCCTGCCAAGGCAACTCTGGAGCCCAGTGTCGTGCCCCTACCAACAGCCTTGGTGGTGTGCTCTGGGTTTGGGGGCACTGCAGGAAAGTGCTGAGAGCGCTGGGCAGGGCTCTGCAGTGAGGCCAGCAGGGTTTGATTTTGGCTTTCTGCATCCCCACAATGGGTCCTTTGTGGGGTCCCACTGCCTTGCAGTCCAGGCTTTCTGCAGCCTGGCCAGGAGGGGGTCTCCACCAGACATTTCCCTGAGGTATGGAACACCAAGGGGGATGCCCTTGGCTGAGGCTGGGAAAACATTAGAGCTTTGCAGGAGGAACTGGATTAGAATTCTGGTGCAACTCTTTTCATGGAGCAACTTCGTATATTCTAGAAGATGAGGGCAAAGGTTTTAGGTTCAAACCTCCACTCACAGCTGGCTGACCCCAGTAGAGGTCTGAGCTCTCTCAGTTTCACCACTTGCAAATTGGGGCTAAAAATAAGCTCCCCACCTGCAAAGACCAAGTGCATGAGACACTTTAACCACGATTGCATGGCTTGCAGCTCAGCAGCAGGTATCACCGGATGAGGAACCTCTTCCTGAGTATTTTCCACATCCATAAAATAGGGATTCTGCTGCCCACCTCACAGGAGGGATTTCCCCCTCCCCCCTTACAAAGCTGAATGACAGAGTAGAGTGACAGGCCAACCAGAAAGATGCCTAGCTCACTGCAACCCCATGGCACGGGGCATGCTGGGGTGGAGGTGTAATCAACGCCAACCTGGGACCTTGAACAGCTGACGTGTTGTTCCAGCCTGTTCTGATCCCTGATGCCACATGGAAAATGTTTGCCAGTTTCCTGCTCCTTCCTAGCAGCCCTGAGGCTGGTAACCGTGTCCCTAGGACAAATGCAGACAGAGGGCAGTTACTGATAGAATTTGGAGACACTCGTGACACCAACATTGAGTGGCCCCACCATAAGAGCTGTGGTCAGCACATTGATTCCTGCTTCTACAGCCTCCCCTTCCCTGGGCTAACAATAGATTTCTACCCTCTCCTGTCTCCCCATGTGATTCAGTAAGTTCCAGTGATTTTGATTTTGTTGGAGGAATTTAATTTTGTTTCTGGTCATTTAATACTTGCTCCCTTCCCATCCTCACTGAACAGAGGAGGAAGTGGAGCTGGAGGGCTGAGGATCCTGCCCTGCACTTCCTCAGCGCTTGTAGGCAAGGTGAGCCTGGGTCCCAGTTGGAAGTGTGATAGAAGGAAGGCAGGTGGAGCCAGCTGTCACCATCCTTGTGTTAGGCTCTGATGAAGATATGACCCAGCCCCCAGCAGCAGCTGCTCCAGCACTCCATGGGCATGCTTCAGGTCCTGAGCGCCCAGGGACCATAGGGGCCCCAGTTAAAGGAGAAATGTTAGTAAGTTCTGTGAGAGCACGGGGCTTGCTTCGGAATGGTGAGATGGACTCAGCACATCACCTGTGCACTATGGTGAGTGGGCTGTAGCAAATGTGTCCTGGTAAGGTGTCTTGACCACAAGGCTTGGTGCTGAGGAAATGGTGCACTGACCACACACCTCCCTCCTCTTCAGGGTCCACTCCTCCAGCACTTGCCGGGTGTTCACCCTGTGCCCAGCCCTCTGCCATCTACTTGTCCTGCGGAGATGGGTGGCTCCTGGTCCATCCCATAAGAATGGGAGGAGAAGCCCAGCCAGATAGCTCAGTGGATTAAAGTGCCTACTTAGGCAGATGCAGGGGCCGAGGGTGTGTTGAGAGACCAATTGAAACTGGGCATGGTGGTGTGCACCTATAATTTCAGCACTTGGAAAGCTGAAAACAGGAGAATCACTATGAGTTTGATCTATGTAATGAGACCCTATACTAAATACATTTGAAAAAAAAAGGAGGAAAACATGGTGGTATTCCCAGGGCTAGGGTGCCAGCCAGTGTGCAGAGGGGGTACCACCACTGCACAAGTGTCCTGATGTCAACTGCCTTGTCACCTGAGAGAAGAACTTTGGGTTTTCATTCTAAATCTCAGACTTTGGAGAGGCCATAATGGCAGCTTTGTTGTCGTGGGCCACACAGTAGGGGAGGTGCAGAGGCTGGAACTGGACTCAGGGCTGTCAGCTGAAAAGCCTTCACTTTGGAAGAAAAGGCAAAGGTTTTTTTTTTGTTTTGTTTTTGTTTTTTTAATATTTATTTATTTGTGTGTGTGTGTGTGTGTGTGTATGTGTGTGTGTGTGTGTGGCCAGCTCAGCCCACCAGGGGGCGGGGCTGGCTGGCATGTGGTGCTGGGGGATTGAACCGCGGTCCCTGTACTTTGCTAAGCTTGTTCTAAGTAGGTGCTTTAGACCACTGAGCCATCTCACCAGCCCGTGTTTGTTTGTTTTTGTGGCGGAACCGGAGATTGAACTCAGGCCCTTGCCCTTGCCAGGGAAGCGCTTATTCCACTGAGCCATCTCCCCGGCCCCTGAAAAGGCAAAGTTTGAAAGTCTCCACTATCCTGTCAGATCTTTCAAGTATTGGGGGGTGTCCTTAGGGACAAACTAGGAATAGGAACCCCTATCTCACCCCTAGCCATTTCACAGCAGGTGAAAATCCAGCTTCCTGTTGCTCTTCTTTTAAAACAACCAAAAAAGGGGAAAATAGCCACCTCTTGCCTTGCTGATCAACAGCCTTTGTTTTTATTGCCTCTAGGACCTCATGCATCTTATGTAGTTCAGGTATATTTGCCTCTCTGTGAAATGGGAACGTGAAGAGACCCAGGGAAGTAGGACTCTTGGAGCATGTGCGTAAAGCATTTAAACACTTAGGGAGCACCCTGTAAATTCTGACTGGTATGTTTAATGTTTATGTTCTTTCCTTTAAGCAGCGATCATCTCCTAATACTCTGTAATTCATTTAATTATGAAGCTTATTCTCTTTCTCCTTCCTGTTAGGATGGGAGCTCCTGAGGGCAAGGATTTGTCTCTAGCTTATTCAAGGTATAGTCCCAATGCCTACAACAATATTTGGGCCAAACTCATTCCTTAGAAAGGCCTCTTTAAAGTATGTCAAAGAAGCCAAAAGTACAGTGTGGTTGCATATGCCAGTAGCTCCTTTAGTGGGCACATTTTCAGCTATTAGTGGAGAATTCTCTCCTTCCTTCCCTCCTTTCTTCTTTCCACACCCTTCCTTCTCTCTCCTTTTCCTTCCTTCCTTCCTTCTTTCCTTACTCTCTCCCTCCCTCCCTTCCTCTCCCTCTCCCTCCCTCCCTTTTCTCACCTCTCTCTGGAGGTAGAACCTAGGGCCACCTGCGTGCTACCCTCTCCCACTGAGCCTCAGCCTGAGCTCTTCCCCTTCATCCATGAATTTGCCTTTCTGAAATTGTTTTAGGGTTGATGGAGGAGGTAGAATAAATAGAGGAGAAAGCCTGAGCCTTAAGTGATTACTTGTGTTTGTTCTTGTTGGACTGTTTTCCTGATAGCTGGATTTAGCCCTGTAGAATTCACCTTGTAACCTAGATCCGGGGGTGTTGTCCCTAGTTCCGGCTGGCCTGAAGCCAAGAGCACCTGCCACTACCTCTTCTGAGGCTTGGACAGCCCCAGTCTAGCTGGGGAAGTGGGGAAAGGATATCAGGGGACAGTCCCCGTGGTTCAGGCCCAGGGGAGCCTGCACCCTTCTCTCAGAAGGGGAGTGTATTTCAGGCTCCCCACAGTGGCAGCTCTCAAGTTGAAACTCCAAGTCCTGGGGAGTGTCGCTGCCCTACCATGGCCAGCAGTGCCCTAGGACAGTGCGCTTCCACTCTTGGAACCTCAGTGTCTTCATTTAGGGAGAGGATAGGTACCTTCACCCCCTCAGTGATACAGTAGTTGAGCCCCGTGAGATATCTGCAGTATCGGTCGGGACAGGAGCATAGTTTTGGGGCTCAGTGCAAAATGAAAATGTGGAGTCCCTATTTAAAAAGTATTAAGAACGTCAGGATGCTGAGAACAGGGCATTAAGCCAGATATGGGTCCCTCTGAGTATGTGACCCTGTATGACAGCACAGGTCCAATGCTGTGGAGGCTTGCCCTGCTTCCCTCTGTCACTGTGGCTTAGTCTGTCTTTGTTCGGAGTCTCCAGGCTGCCTTAGGATGTCAGAGGAGCTTTCCAAAGTTGGCCTGGCTCTTTTCATGTCTTATTTCCAGTCTTCAAATAGGTCTCACTGCTCTGAGAATCAAGTCTGGATTCCTTAGTGCTCCATGTGGCCTTGTCTGATGGGGTCCCATACCCCCAGAGCCCCCTCACACCATGCTCCAGGCCACCACAGGGGACCCAGCATAGTTGGTACTCAGCAGAGGATAACCAACATGACTGTTCTGCCTCATTCCAGACTGAACTCCAGGAAGCTAACAATAACACATACTCTACAGCAACTTTCTAAAAATATAAACAGGCTTCAAAATCAGATCAGAGGGGGAAATTTTTATTTATTTATTTTTTAAGCCAGGATATGTGTTTATCAAGGATGTACTAGTGCCAGGCGCTGCTGTACAAATCTCACATGTGTCAGTTCATTGAATCCCCGGCCATCCTGCCACACCGATGAGCCGTGAAGGGCTG